ATTTGAAGTTCCTAACAGTTAAAGCTAAGTGGGATGAGCTGCCTCAGAAAGTTTCCCTGAAAAGGGAAAGACTTATTGTAGATTCTTTTTCAGGTGTGTTTTAGATGAGATAGTCTTTTGAGGTTCCTTCCAACTCTGAAATGCCGTGATTTTGTGTTTCTTGGCAAGAGTTCTTTCAGGTTAGTATTCTTTCTGCTACAACATACTACCTCTCAGTTGGGATGCTAGGAGAGTGGGTGTAGAACCCTGGAGACCACTTGAGCACTAAGGATGTTTAGTATCTGAGGCGGTACTCTTTCTGGAATGACAGATGTTAGTGAGTCCACAGGACAGGTCCTGACAGTCCATTGGGAAGTTCCCTGGTTGAGGAGCAGGAATTTGGAGAGTCCCCTGAAGGGACTCGAAGATAACAGGGAATGATAAGATATAGCCAACAGAATAGGTACAGGTTTATTACAGGAAATGGGTGTGAAAGAGGACAGGAGGAATAACAATAATAATTAATAACTGATATATAGCACTTTAAGGTTTGAGCTTGCATTTTATGACTGTAGTACCCACACCCTTCAGATTTAAGATTGAGATGAAATGAGGCATTCACAAGTCATTGAATATTTAACAAAGAAGGTTTACTTTGCACTAATATAGCAAGAAGATGCACTTAGATTCTCTGAATGCCTCCCTCTCCCCTCCATCTGGACATGTGTCTGGTCAGTAAGTTTTCATAGGGGCATGATAATTGGTATGGTGTTAGGTACCCCACCAAGTGTGAGAGGTCTGAACTACATGTGGCTGGGACTTTTTGTGTCCCTGGAGGTCCTGGAAGCTGAGTCCAATCAGGCCCCCAGGGCAACTTTGTCTTCTTTCTGGTAAAGCCTTGCTGTGTTGTGGGAGGAAAGAAGTTGTATCAAGGAAGGAATATGCTGGTAAGTGTTTAACAACCAGCTCTCTTCCTCCCCCCCCCCCCAAAAAGTACACATGATACATCTTTAAACTTAATATGCATTGTTAGAATTTTCTCCAGTGCTTTATCCCCTCTAATGCTTTAAGTCCAGACAACCAACAAAACAGTGTATTAGGCCCTGATTTGTAGTGCTTCCCAGTTTCTGAGGTATAAATGCTCACACTGAAAATTTAACAGTCGGGCTCGCTTGAGCCATCAGGAGCTGGCTCCAGCATGCCATTGCATGTAGCTAACTCATATAAGCTCTGAGAATACTTATCCCAACTCAAGAATCAGCCTTAAGTCATTTCTGGAAAGGGGCATTGTGATATTATAAGAATGTTTGGTAATAAAACATCCCCCCAAAAGTCTGTGCTATTCTCTTACCAGTATATACAGAGTCCAGGAGAAAGTGGGCTCCAACCTAGAGCCCACAAGTGACAAAGGGGAGCTGTGGCTCCTAGTTGCTGGAAGTCCTTGCCTCTCATTTGTGCGATGCTTTGGAAGTTCCCCTTAAGCATGGTGAATCTTTGTTCATCTTTCTTGACTCCTAATGCTGATGAGCAGCAAGACCTTCAGAGTTCCCAAGACTTTCTCCACCAAGAATTCAGGAAGCTCAGATTCTGAGCTTTCGGTCTGCTTCATGACTTGGCAGTACTGAGAGTGAGGCATCCTGCTTTTGCTTTTGCCCACTCATGCTGCTGTCTCAGGAAAGTCAACAGGGATGGGACACTAAGGCTAACAATGGTAGCTTGTTTCTTGGTAACTCAAGTGCTTCAAAATACTTTCTTGATAACAACCAGATGGGGTAGATAGTGCAAGTATTGTCTCTGTGTCACAGATGGGTAAAGCTGAGGGGCAGAGAAAGGAAGTAACTTGTTCTTTGGGACTGAGTTTCAAACCTAGTCACCCAACTTCAAATCCAACACCCTAACCCTCCTTCTCCAAGGATTTCTCTGAACCTCTTGCATCCTGTGTGTGTGTAATTAGAAGGAAGAAATGGTGCTTTCTCATCTCACCCTATCTTTACATAGGATCCTTTGCTTTCAGCAGACTATAGCTCCCTCAGACTTGTGCAGGTGCTGTGGGGGTAGTCGAGGGGCCCAGCAAGGGAAGCAGTGCTTCTTTTCCTGTGAATGAGGTGTAGACCTTGAGTCCCATGGCTTATGGCCAGAAGAGGCACAGGATATGCCGGGGCTGGTGAGAATGCCAGGAACCTAATGCATCCCGAAAATGGAAGTGCAGCAACAGCTGCCTGCCTGTGTCTTGCTGGGTGGTGGGGACAGCAGGGTTGGGAGGAAGGCATGGAGACCCCCACCATGAAATATTCCCTGAGCTGGGAATATCTGTGGGAAGCTCCTGTCAATGCTGGTGGCTTCTTTTCCATGCTACGTAAAGCAGTGGCTGGAGTACCATGTCTTCTATGTTTGTCTCCCCTCCCCAGGTCCTCTTTCGTGGGTTCTGTGTTACCTTCCAATTGAAATTTTAGCTCCCTTAGCTGTCCCAGGAGTCCTATTATTCCACCCTTTGAAGGCTTGACTGCTAACTGCTCTTCAGCTGATTCAAAGTCAGTTTTCCTCTGATATCTTTGTTGCCAAGTTACCAAGAACACTTTCTCCATCACAGTGTCCCAGGACATTAGAACTGAAAGCCCAGAGGCTTGTTTAGTACCCTTCTTATATAGATGAGGAAACTAGGCTCAGAGTGAGAAATGGATTTAACCAAGGCCAATCACATGCCAGTTAGTGACAGAGACAGCCTTAGAACTCAGGACTTGAAGTCACCACTCTTTATACACTTTCTCTAAGGTTGGGAGTCACTGTAGGAGATTATAGGCAGAATCTTGAAGCTCAGCAAACTAACTGTTGCTTTATGTTATGTCTGAGGTGGCCTCATTTCTAGAGGACAGTCAGTCAACAGATCTGAAAGAAAGCACTGTACAAATGTGAGCAATGAAGGTTTACCAGGTGCTTTCCTCACGGCATCCCATTTTGCAAATTTGGAAGCTGTAGCTCAGTGAGTTGAAGTGATTTGTTCATTGTTGTGTGACTAATGAGTCAGTAGCATAGTTAGCTCTAGAATTCGAGTATTCTTTCTTCCATCCTACAGCTTGGTCTGTCATATTGCTTACCTTTCTTTGTCCCCCATGCTAGGTAAAAGGGACCAGTAAGAGTCTGTCTCATTATTGAGCTGGGGTGGAAGAATGATGGGAGAATGGGGACTGAGGCAGAGCATGTAGGATCTAGAACTTAAGAGACTTTAGAGATTGTGTCGTTCCAGCCTCTCATTTTGTAGATGAGGAAATGGAATACTAGAAAGGTGACTTCATTTGTTCAAGGTCATTGAGGTAGTAAGTAGCAGAGTTTGGTTGAACCCAGGCCTCTTGACTCCAAATCTATCACTCTTTTTATTATGTCAAGCTCTCTCCAATAATATTGCTTTTATGAAATAGTGTGTTGAGCTTTGATGATAGAAAACCAGAACTGGAAACAGATCTGCTGCAAGAATGTCCCCTTCTCCCATTACCAGTCACCCAGCAGAAGCTGTTTATAAACAGACTTGAGCTTTAGTCTACTGAATGTTGGAGTCAGGAGCACAACTAAGTGAATTCTCTATACTTTGTGGAAGTCATTTCTCGGCCTGCAATTGGTCTTTTCAGACACTTCCACTCACTGGATTACAGTCACTGTTAATGACACTATCTTGTAAGGACTGAAGTGTGTAGCCATAATGGTTAGTAGCCTGTCTCAGCCAAACACGTACCAACAACACTGTACTCTTTCTGTCAGTCTTAAGATTGCCCCTATTTAAAGTCCTGTATAAACTCTCATCATCTAGGAATCCTTCCCCAACTAACTTCCCTGTTCGGCCTCCCCTCAGTATTTTAAGTGCCTAGTTTACACTATCCAAGTATGCCCTATTTTAAGCAAATGCAGCATAACGTATGAAAATCTGCATTTATGTGGAAGCTAAATCAGGGGCAGCTATTTGCTTTACAAAAAGGATCCACAAGAAGATGCCTTCATCCAGCAAGCTCCCTGGTGTGCTGAAAATATTTACACACACATTTTGGGAGCACAAGTATTTTTAAAATCAAAGTGTACCTGTGTTCTTATTTGTTGAATGATCTTTGTGGTTTTCACCACAAAGGTGTCAATTCAGTTTTAATATGTACATGGTACTGTGTTGTGCACTGGCGATGCAAAGACAAAAAACATAAAGATCTTTCCTGACCTCAAGGAGCTTAAATTTTTACCTTTGAAAAACATTAGAAAACTTTTTTTTAATGTGTATCATCTGTCTTATTAGGCTACAAAGCTGAAGACTTGTCTCCCCTGCCACCTTCTATAGCTTCCTGTGGTGTCTAGTACAAAGCTCTTTGCACACCATGCTTGCTTACTGCTGATTGAGAGTTCTGAGTGCCCTGAGCAGCTCATCTTGCTCCTCTAGGACTTTTCCCTCGAAGAGACCATGAGCTAATCATAATCCCACAAAGAGTAACATGTAAATAGGGATGGGTCGTTAAAATTTTTTTGTTAATGCAACTTTTTAAACATTAAAAAAAATTTTAAGTTCCAAATTCTCTCCCTCCATTCATCCCCTCCCCCATCCCATTGAGAAGGCAACCGATATGATAGATGGGTCATTTCTTGGCACTTGACTTTTTTGGTGGACTTTGATTTCTTTTTTTCATCTCTGCTAGGCAAGTGTGAGAAAAGAATTAGAGGAGGACTATTTGATCTTCCCCAGTGAATAAGCATGCCCAGACCAACTTCTGAAAGTTTTAATACATTTTATGGACTTGTAGACTCCTAGAACTTGGAGGTTATTGATTGTTACCTTGTTTTATACATAAAGGAATTCAGGCTCAGAGAAGTCATAGAATTGTCGCATCATTGATTAGAGCTGGAGAAGACCTCGGGGATCATCTATACCAGCTCCCTTACTCTACAGATCAGATAACTGGGCCTACACAAATGAGAGAATTTGCTCAAGTAATTGCACATAGAGTGGCAGAGTTGAGATTCACCCTAGGTTGTCTGATTCCTTTTCCCAGCACTCCTTACTTCACCACCTATCCTGCTTCCAGCCCAACCCCTGAAGACATCTTCCAGGGAGAAAGGGCCAGCCATCCCTACCAGCTGTCATCTTTGGAGCTGGTAAGCTGCCTTGTTAAAGCAGGTATTGAGAGGAGGGAGAAGGCAGTATGTGCCAGGCAAGTCAAGTCACCACTACTACCACCTCTCCAAGAATCCTGATGGATGTAGCACTAAGTCTTAGAACCCAAGAGCCTTTGGAATTAGCAGTGTCTCCCAGACCACTGGCCATTCTTTCAGCCCAAGCTTTGTTGTCATCACTGAGTGCAGCAATCACTGTGGAGAAGGAGCCCACCTTCCTCACTATTAACACCACCTGCTAACCAACTACCACAAAAGATCTCTGATGGTGGCAGCACCCTTAAGACAACTCATTTTGCTTTCAAACCAGCCCCCTCAGCCATCATCCAGGGAAGCAATCCTTAAGGAGATGTGACCTGGCAACTACTTCTGTGGGTGCTGTAGCTACAGCTACTGAAGACCCAGAAAAGAAAGTTTTCACCACCAAAGTCCTTGCACTTCAAGTAGTTCAGCATCAGAAACTGATATGATTTTGTTAGTGTAAATGACATCAAAGAGGCATCACCATCTGCTTTGCAGCTGCACCCTGAGGTGCAGGACCTTTCCATCTATCTTACAGCTAAAACTTTTATATATGTTCTCTCTCCCCGTTAGAATGTGAATTCCTTGAGAGTCAGGACTATCTTACTTTTCTACTTGTATCCCAAGCACTTAGTACAATACTTTGCACATAGTAAAGTCATAATATATGCTTTTTCATTCATTCATCCATTCATATACCACAGTGCACTCTCTCTTTCCACAAAACAGCAAGGCAAATATATTGACTATTGTCATCATTTTTACTGGAACAATTTAACTAATGAGGAACAGTTGCTACACCAAGGAGGCCAAAATAGCCCAGAAACCTTCTTAGCCAGTTAACACTTGATCCCTTTGCCAAGTGGAGAGAGATGTTAGTCAAGGGCAACACAGATATAGAGTACAAATTTATTTATAAAACTCCAGGAGAACGGTGGAAGATTATTAGTAGTGGTGCCTTATAAAACAAACAAAAAGTCATAAGTGAATAGTAATCTACACAAAGCTTAACATGGTACCCCAATGAACCAACAATGTTGTACCAATTGTCAAAAGAATTTCAGATTGGCATGAGGTAGAACATATTTATTGTTGTTTCTGTAATACATGTTTATCATCAGCAGCAGAGGAAACACCATGTTTCTACCCCTCTACCCTGGTCTCTGATGATATGAAGGTACTTAGAAAGACAAAATTGGCAAGACTGGCTGGACCATATTAAGTATTCACCAGAGAAATCTGTGTGAGAGGCAACAAAATCTTGAAAGTAATAAGAGATTGCTTTATAGTATACCTCAGGAAAGAAAGAATACTAAAAAAGTAAGAAACAAATCATAATATACAATGGCTATCAAGTTGTAAAGGAACAGAGAATTGTGAAAGATTTAAGAATGGTGACCAATGAAAGAGACCAGTCATGACTCCAGAAGACTGATTATGAACTGAAATACAGAACGAGACCTACATTTTTAGATGTGGCCAGTATGTAGATTTGTGTTGCTTGACCATACTTATTTGTTATAAAGGAGTTAAGATGAAAAAGGGAGTGAAATGTGACTTTATTCTTCATTTCACTTTTCCTGTCTACAGAATGGGAACAGTTGATTATGCATAAGAAAGGCTCTTGAAATCTTTGGAAGAAGGACCCTGGCCTGTGGTCCTTATTTTATCTTTATTTTTCAGTTTCATCTGTTCCCTGCATATTATATTATGTGCTTTGTCATCATTGCATAAATTGTTCTTCTGATTCTGCTCTCTTCATGCAAGTCATGCAAAACTTCCTAGGGTTTTGTGAATCTATTCCTTTTGTCATTTCTTGAGGCACATTATTATTGAATACAATGACATTCATATGTCAAAATTTATTTAGCCGTTCTCTAGTTGGTGGGTATCTACACTTTTTCCAGTTTTTTGCTAGAGCAAAAAATGTTGCTATAAATATTTTTGTACATATTTTGTTCCCTCTTTATTTTACTTCTTTGGAGTTCATGCGTGATAGTAGTATTGCAAGGTCAAAGTATATGCACACTTTAGTGACCTTTAGGGTATAATTCCACATTTCTTTCTAAAATGGCTTGACCTATGTAATAGCTCTACTAACAATACATCTGCATACCCATCCTTCCACAGCCTCTACAACAATTGTTATTTCCTTTTTTATTGTTATCTTTGCCAATCTTACTGGTGTGAAGAGGAATTCCAGAGTTGTTTAAGTTTAGATTTTTATTATTAGTGATTTGCAGCATTTTAGATGGTTATTGGAGCTTGACTTGTTTGCTTTGAGAATTCTTCTCAAATCCTTTGATCATTTATCTAATGGCAAATGGCTCTTATTCATATGTATTTGTATCAATTTCCTATATACCTTGTCTATCAGACCTTTATCAGATAAATTTTACTGCAAAGATTTTTTCACCCACTTAACTGCTTCCTTTCTTCAGTTCTCAGTTGAGAGTTTATTCCAACTCCTTCTGTGGCTCTGACAGTTCCCATTTATAGGAGAGATCATGCTGGTCTAAGAGCTTTTTGCAAGCCCCCCAGTGCCTGTTCATGGTCATTGAGCTTGTTGTTTCTTGTGTAGCACCCTATCAGGAGTTGGTTCTGTTGCTGCTATTGTTCCTATTGACCAGAGCCAAAATCCTACTGGCTTTAGCCTCTTTTCACCCTTCTCATTCCCTTCCACCTAACATCCCAGTTCAGAGCACCCTCAGTCTCCACACTTTGTTTACTAGAGGTTGGGCTAGCTTCCTGATGAGGCCCCACTCAGAACACCCATAGGCTTCTGGCCATATTTACTGGAGTTTGGACTTGTTTCTACTGCCGTGGCAAATCTGCCCAGAGCACCTCCGTGTTTATGAGAGTTTACCACTAGCTTCTACCTCCCCTGCCACGTTCTAGCTCTGCCTCCTGCCTTCTGGTCATCTTGTTTAATCCAGCACTGTATGTGGTGGAGATTACTGGTATGTCTCTTTGGATTTTTTGATTATTGTTCCATCTGGAGCCCATTATACCTTTTCTAGGGGTGTTTATTGGAGAGTTGGGTTCTGGTACAACTTTTCATGTCATCATCTTAGCCTGAGGTCCCTTTTTTGTTTCTCTTTTGCCCCCAGTTTTTTTAATTTAATTGCTGTCTACCTATGAAATTTTCTTCTCCTAATCAATTCCTCCCCCACCTCTCCTTCTCACTAGCTATCTTTTGCCTGAGAAGCTGATGCTATACTTGGGGACATAGTTGGATTGCATTTGAGGTATCACTTCCTCATGAACAGGTCCCCTAAGAACAATAAAAGGCTGGGAGTATTTCATTTCTGTACCCTGGTGTAGCTAGACCTCTCACACATAGGCTTATGTATGTGCATGTGTGTGCACCTTTAAGGAAGCCTTGTGTATTGTATTACCTATATAGCTTGTTTCTGGCCACCAGTTCAAATTTCTTTAGTAGGATTTTCTGATTACAGACTTCATTGCTCTCCCTGCCCTTCCTCTCCCCTTCCCCCCAGCCCGGATGGTATGTAATTGGGTACTGAGCTGGTGTGGTGTGGATTTGGTTAATAGCTGGCCCACATTCCTCTCATTCTTTTCTCACAGGAAAAATGCCTGGAAATAACTCTCTGGTAGAGATGGCTTTCAGGGAGAGGGGCCGGCTGCCTAACACCATCTCTCACATTTGGTGCCTGCCTGGCTCCCCTCCAGCCTCTCATCATCCTTTGCTTCATCTCCCCATGGTGACAGATCCTTCCTGGCTGGACAGTCACATGTTAGACTCTACTGGAGTTTGAGTGAAAAGTTAAAATACAAAATACAACAAATATTACATAGTTTCCTAAGCAATAGGAGAAATAGAAATTGACATAAGCAAGTTCCCTATCTTCATACAACTTAAAGTCTAGTAGCGGAAAAGACACCAACAGAGATAACTGCAACATGACTCCAACAAATCTTGGTTTGGTTTTCTTATTTCCTGGCTATATTATGTTCCCCTTTCCAAAGGACACCGTATCTTCTAATAGTTCTCAAATTGGGGCTTAAAGACAGTCACAGTAGTTTGTACTTCATTTAATTAATTTTTTTCTTATTTTATGTAATCAGCCTTTGGACCTAAAAAAAAAGCCTTTCCCAACTTCTAGATATCAAAAACATGTTAATTTTCATAAAATGGAATACAAATGTAGAGATATAACTTTTGTTGTTGTGTCATTTCAGTTGTGTCTGACTTTTTGTGACCCCATTTGGGGTTTTCTCAGCAAAGATACTGGAGTAGTTTGCCATTTCTTTCTCCAGCTCATTTTACAGTTGAGGAAACTGAGACAAACAGGGTTAAGTGACTTGCCCAGGGTCACTCAGCTAGTAAACATTTGAGGCTGGATTTGAATTTAGGTCCTCCTGACTCCAGGCTTAGAGCTTGGTGCTCAATCCACTATGCCATCTAGCTGCCTTAGATATGCAACTGTCTAGCCCCAAACTGGATATTCTAGGGGACTAGAGGGGACTTTTGGTAGCCTTATGCAGATTTTTCTTCCTGTTGTCTTCCCACCCATGTTCCTTTCAAATCTCTGGAACTCATTGGGGGCTCTGGAACTCATTGGGGGGAACTCTGGAACTATTGTGGGAACTAGGGAACTCTTCCCCCTTGGAGTCCGATTTGGTGGAAGCAAAAAACTTTTTTTTTTAAAGGAAGGAAAAGTTCTTCCCTTTTCTTTGCCTTTTCAAAGGTATAAACTCTTGGGTCTTCCTTTTAAAAAAAAAAGACATCAGCTGTCTCTTATTCGTGTTTGGTAATGCTCATCTTCAGACCTGAGGGTACTATGGGATCCCTGTTTCCCCATCTCTTCTACTAAGATCAGTTTTCTACCATTTAAAATGAGGTGGGGTGAGATTCCCTCAAGTCCCGTGCAACCCTAGGTTCCCCTTGTGGCTCTAACTCCTGATCTGCCAGGGCTGGGGCCAGACTGCGATAAATT